GGTGAAAGAAACTTTGCCCATTTGTTTCTGCCTCGTGCGGGAATCGAACCCGCGCAACAGAATTACGAGTCTTGCGCGCTATCCACCTGTGTGTGTGTGTGTGTGTGTGTGTGTGTGTGTGTACTTACCTATTTGTGCTTGCGGAGGTTGAGCTTTGGCTCTTTGGTCCCGCCTCTCAACTGTCAATCAACTGTGTGTGTGTGTGTGTGTGCGTGCATTTGTGTGCGTAGCGCGTGTGCAAGTGCCCACCCTACTAAGCCGTCAACAATATTATAGCTCAGAGATCCAACATATAAATCACTCCAATTTGGACGTGGACCAAGCCCCGGTCTCTTCCTTCCAGAAGTTGCTCATCTGTTTCTCCACTCTCGCTACTTTACGCCAACAGTGTTATGCGTCCCTGTTGCCGTTGGCAGCGTCAAGGGTGTCTGTTGCCGTTGGCAGCGTCAGGAGTGCCTGTTACACCTGTTGCTCCTACACCAAGGAACTCGCCATGAACAGGTGTGTATAAGCTCAATAAAGTGTATACACATTTGTATGACTTCATACAGTAATCTACTGTTGGATGTTCCTATAGTGATAGTGAGAAAACGTTAACCACTGTCGTTTGCTTCTTGGGCTTAGTGATTGCTGGGTTTGAGGGGGGTGTGGTTTATCATGGTAATGGATTTGGTCGGAGGACGGCTCATGCGTATATTTTTTTTTATTAAATACATGAGGTACATCTGCATTAGTGCAGCTACCCTAGACTATATGAAGTGGAGTACAGTGTGTCAAAAAAGCTAACTAGGTGATGCTAAAAAATCCCCATCACACAGGATGGTTAGTCATACAGAGGCATGTGATAAGCGGTCTGCACTGGCAGACTCCGGATGCATTTTGAGGATATCAACAACACAAGATTGAATAAGGTAGCAGTGGTAATACAAGTCCCCATCTCGCAGGATGGTTAGTCATACAGAGCCATGTGTTTAATAGCCTGCACTGGCAAATTTTGGGTATACTGTGAGGATATCTTCAAGAATACGAGAGTGAATAAAGTAATTGCAAAGCTCCAGGTACCTCATGCCAACTGGTCTGAAAGGTCTAATAACTGGGCATTCAGTGATGTAGTGCGGGAGATCATGCCGTAGTTCCTGCTCACAGAGTTTGCAACTGGAGTGCTCAGGATTGGGAGACCCGTCACCTGCAGCCACCTGCCACAGGTAACGGTAACCCAACCTGATCCTTGCAACCACTGTGTCGCACAGTCTAGTGGACGTTTTGTGCTGTCCATAGATGTAGGTTTCAGATCTGAACAAATCATAGCTTTTTATACTAGTACTTTCAGGTCGTTGGGAGTCAGTAAGTTCTTTCCTATCAGATCTGAATGTTTGGACCAATACAGTTTTGACAGCAGAGATGGGGATACCTAGATCTAATTCAACTTCAAACTTGTTACACGCTAATTTGGCTGCAATGTCTGTCTCATTATGATGGGTTATATTTATGTGTGAAGGTATCCATACAAAGGAGATTCGAGACCCTTTACTCTGTGCATCAATTAGGTCATTTATAATTGGGAGTATGAGGTTCTTGCTGTCGATCTTCCAAGAGAAGTTTTCGATTGCTTGAAGAGCAGACTTTGAATCACAAAATATTATTCCTCCTCCAATGTTTTTTAATGTACTGGTAGCTAGGTGTAATGCTGCTAGTTCTGCTTGTGTGGAGGTCAGCCAGTTGTTTAACCTGACACTGACAGTCTTTGTGCAAATATTATTTCTATAAAACCTACATGCCGCTGCAGTCCGTCCAGTAGAGGATTGGACTGAGCCGTCGGTGTAGACACAGTGCTCGTGAGATCTTAAACTCTCGATGGAGGAGGCAATTGTTTCAAGAGTGACAGCTTTGAGAAGAGCAAGATTCTCATTATCTTTCTTGGTGACAGGTGTGTATGATACTTGAATGGTGGGGTACAGATAAAGAGGAATATCAGAGACAGGTAGATTGCACTTAAAAGGAATGTTAAGTTTAATGAGATTGTAAGCATTGTTGCTCAGCCAATTATCATAAAAGGAGTGAGTTGGTATGTCGGCACCAGTCAAAAGGGTGTTAACAGCACTAAATAATTTGTCTCTGAGCAATGCAGGAGATGTAGGATCTCTCATGACTTTAAGGCAAAAGGTAGTGTTGACTTGCATTATTCTCTCTAGTATGGTTGGAAGCTTCAGTTCTTCCCTCATGTTGATGATTCTTGTGCATCTTGGGGCACCAAGAATTATCCTCATGGCCTCATTCTGTACTACTTCAAGTTTGTCCAACACAGAGGAGGGGAAATTAATTAAGTGCAGAGCATTATAATCAACGAGAGATCTAACAAACATCATATAGAATAGTCTAGCATATTTAATATTGATACCAATATTCTTACCAGTAAGTGTTCTCAATGGTTTTAGTCTTTCTTTTAACCTACGGTGTAGATCATTTACAATGTCACTGTTAATACCAACTCCAAGGTATTTGTGCTGCCTACACGTTTCAATGTTCTGGTTGTTGACCTTGAAAGTTATAGGGACATGAGTTTTCTCTTGGGGATGGAGAACTCTGGATTTAGTTATAGAGATAACAAGACCACATTCAATGCTTTTAGCAGCGAATGAATCAAGTAGAGCTTGCAGTCTAGTTTGGGAATTTGCAACAATGCATATATCATCGGCATAACAAATGACGGCTTCGTCAGGTAGTGTGGGAATATCAATTGTTAATTTGTGCATCAGAACATTGAACAGTGTAGGACTTAGCACTCCACCCTGGGGTGTACCCAACTCAAAGGGTGCACAAAGTTTACTTTTGACCCCCTTGAAAAGGACTGAGGCGGTTCTGTTACTCAGGTAACCCCTGAGCCATGTCAACAGTCTTCCCTTAACTCCAAAAGAGGCTAGCTGTTCTAGGATTATTTCTCTGTTTGCTGTATCAAAAGCAGTTTGGAGATCAATAAATGCCGCCTGAGAGTTTGGTCCCTCTCTGATAAAATACTCAGCAAAGCAAGTTTGTGTGCTTCTTCCAGGAAGGAAACCATACAGGTTAGGGGCAAGGTGGGGCTTGATTTGAAACATTAGTCTGTCGAGAATAATTCTCTCAAGAACTTTACACATGCACGACGTCAGAGAAATGGGTCTAAATTTTTGTGAATTAGGCTTGGGTATGGGTATTATGAGTCCCTGTGTCCAGCGGTCAGGTAAAACACCCTGCCTTAGACTTTGATTAAACAATTCTAGCAAAGGGCTATTTGGCAGCTCAGCAAGTACTCTCATGGTGTTGTATGTGATGCCATCCTCTCCAGGAGAGGTAGCCTTACCTTTCTTGAGTGCATTTTTAATTTCAAAGGGGGTTATGCCATAGTTATCATCAGGCCCTATTTCACTACAGGCAATTTCAATATTGAAGTTACGATTTATTTTGGTACTAGCCAGATAGTTTTGCACATCTAGGGGCAGGCTGCTTATACTAGCAGTGCTTGCATATTGCTGAAGCAGCATGTCGGCATAGTCTACAGGTGAATGGTGATCAAGTTGACGACTGCTAGGACGAGAAATCTTTTTAATTTTATTCCACATTTGGGATGAGGATGTTGCATGATTGATGCCTTGCAGAAACTGTTCCCAGTGCTGGTTATACACCTGTTCCTTTAGCTCTCTAAACTCTCGGCTGGCTTTAAGAAATATGTTGAGGGTGTCAGCTGTTTTATGTGTTTTATACTGCTCAGCTAGGAATAGAACTCTGTCATGCAGGGGCTTAAGGCGTGAGTCAGTGAACCACCTCTGTCCCTTCCTCACTGGTTTGGGTCTTGTGGATTTTACAACATTGTCATAAAAAGCGGTTACTTCAGTGACCAGGTCCTCATATAATGCATTGACGGTAGTAAAGCAGTAAGTGTTATACCATTCAGAAATGCGGAATTTGAAGAGCATGTGTAAATTTTCAGGGATATTAATTATTTTTTTTCAAAGCTTAGGGGTTTGACATTATTGATAGTGTATGAACTGAATATGGCAAAGTGATCACTAACTAATTCATGAACAATTGATCCTCCGACAGCATTATCAATGAGACCGTGACCAATGACATAATCAAGCCTGCCACCCATGAGGTGTGTGACGTTAGAGGAGTCAAAGTTGAATACGGACATGTTATTATCTCTTAAGTATTTTACAAAGACTCTGCCATTCCTGTTTGTTTTGGTGTCACCCAGGCTAGTGTGTCTAGCATTAAAATCACCCATTACAATGGTTTGAGAGCTGCTGGTAATTTTTGGAAGAGAAGCTTCCACCATTTGATCGCACCTTACATATACATTAACTAAGTTAATAAACCCGGTCGCTGTAGCAATCTGAAACTGCTGATAATATGAGTCGTCACTTTTGTGGTTTTTAACATGTTTACACACTAGGTTACTTTTAACATACGTCAAGATACCGACATCATGTGAACCAACATTTGAGAAAGCTACATAACCTGGGAGTTTGGGTGGCGTTTTATTTTTTGTGTTTGCAGTGTATGGTTCCTGCAGGCACAGTACATCAATGTTGTTGGCACCAGCGTACATCATTAGATCAAACAGCCTCCTTCGCACGCTTCTCACATTCCACGTGAGAAATTTAAGAGTGAGTTGGTCGTGGGTAATGGTGTTCATAAACCTGACGAAGAGAAGTGTTTACAAGGTTCACAAGTTGTAGACTATTGCTTACAAATGACAATTGTTCACAGTCATTAATGGCAAAGAGTTCTCTCATCTGTTTCAAGGTCAGCTGGTTGCCTGTATTTTTCCTAACATTTACAATCATTTCATGTTCATCAGGATTCATAGAGACACAAGCGGTATTGTTTGGAATGAGTTCTTGAGCGCATTTGTTAATTACAGCTAAGACACACGGGTTTTCATATGTTTCACTCGCCACAGCGGTACTTACAGCACTGGAGGGAGGGGGGTCAATACTTGCTTGAGACGTGTCAACACTTACATCACTGGAAGGCATTTCACTAGAGACTTGGACGTTCACTTCACTCCTCGGGCTGGCGAGATGATCGCTTGAACACTGTCTCAGGTCGTCCATGTTGATCTTAGCATAAATGCTGTTGAGACCATTTTCAATCTTCGTGAGTGTTTCTTGGAGCTTATTGACGGTAATTTCTATTTTACTCATGCGAGCTGGAAGTTCTAACACCTCCCTCTGCAGGCTGGCGTCAGGCTTCCCAGGTAGGCGAGGGAAGGTTGTCAGGCTGTTGGCGTCAGGAACAGTGGTGGGGTCATCCCGGGTGGGGGTGGGCGGGTAGGTGTAGTGGTGGGGCCACCCCGGGTGGGGGGGTTGACTGGAGTGATGGAGGGTTGCCCCACTGTGCTGTGCGGGGGAGGCCGCTTGACACAGTCCTTGTGCCAAATGGTCACACCCTCACGCAAGCACCTGGGACATTTGTGCTTGGTGGCTGAGGATGAGGTCTCATCGGTCTCAAGGGCGTGGTCTTTATTGGGGCATTCTTTAGTGAGCTGATTGGCGGCATAGAAGACACAGGTACCTGAAGATTGACAGTGCTTGGCTACATGACCAAAGTGTTGACAGTTAAAGCACATAACCACTGAGGACACCCAGGGTGTTATGGGGCAGGCTGGCCAGTAGGGGCCTAGGAACTTGTGATGACTTGGGGGCGGTGTCTCAGGTTCCCAGACGATGATAATCCTGTTGAGTGGCCTGTCTCCAGACATGATGCGTCTTGCACTGTAAACACCTGGTAGTTCTTTCGCATGGGAGATGTCAAGGTCATGAGGGTAGGATGCGACAAGGTACTCTCTGTACCCTGGACCTCTCAGGAGAGTCTGCTTTACTGAATGTGATGCCACCAACTTGACCTTGGAGTAGGGCCGAGATGATGACGTCATCGGACCTGGCTACATAGATGTAAGGCAAAGCGTGTCTAGGGATTATGAGGTCTATGGGGTCAGGAAAATGACGAGGAAGGTCACGTCTCATCCAGGCATACCTCTGGTCACTGTTAACTTGAGATGGAAATGCCAGCCTGGCATATTTATTACGGGGTGCCAGGGTGGGTCGTGGTGAAGTTGTGGGGGTGACATTGGTCGTCTTGACAGAGTTGTTACCTTCCCTTAACCTTCTCTCTTTATGTAAGGTCTTCCGGCTTTTGTGTACAGTAGAACTACCATCCGAGGCTGCTTCATCACTTGAGCTGGTGTCCTCATACATGGCTGTAGGAGGGATGGAGTGTTTGGCCATCCTGTAAGTCATGCGGGGTGGTGGCCGAAGTGGACGCAACTGCGTCTGAAGCATTTTGGGAAGGGTCGCTGTGGGTGACCCCAGAAGGCGGGAGGGAAGTGGCCATAGTTGCCAGAGTCACAACATGAAGTGACAAGACACGTCAGCTTCTACCACAGTGTAGCACTTCAGGCTATGGCCTGGACCCAGAACAACAGCGGCTACTAATCATAATGCAGAGACAAGATGAATAGTTCAGACACTTACAAGCAAACGCAGGTGTATACGCGGTCAGCTGGCAACACTGCTGAGGGTACCGCATTGGTAGTGTGGATCCGACCAGAGTGACAGGTGTAGAGAGTGCCACTCTGATACCTACTTTATCCAGACCACACACACACACACACTTAATAGTCCTCTACACTGTGTGTAACACTGCACTGGTACCACCAATCACTGGTACCACCAATCACTGAGGCATGATTGTGGTGTGCGAGTGGTCCGTTCGTGCCACCGTGTCCAGGCTGTACAGGGAAAATACAGCTTTAGGGAACGGGGCAATAGGGGCTAAAGTTCCAGCGCCCGGGGTACCACCTCAGGCGTCTGACCAGGCGTGAGGTAAGGGGAAGCGGCCATGTCCCCACTGCCCAAGGCGCCACTTCAAGTAGATAGGTATTGTTTGTCCATATCTGGTCAGATTGCACTGCTCACCACTTTGAAACCTAGGTGAAAGCTTCCAGGAGCTAGATAGTATATATCACTGCTAGGTTGTGAGATCCTTAAGGCCGTCTGTACCCATTTAACAGTAAATCCATGTGGAAAGGTAGGCCTACACGTCTGACCCTCACCAGGGTAGCGACGACACTCATATATATATATATATATATATATATATATATATATATATGTATATATATATGTGTAATGTTGTGTAAAAGAGGTATAATACATGGCTGGGTCTGGACCAACCTGAGACACATCATTTACCTCTGTGTAAATTTTATCACATAAATATATCATGTTAGCTGAGGCTTGGCACATTGTCAAAACATTTTCCACTTCGCTTCAGTTTTTTCATGCGACAGTGATTTTTTCCCAAAATGGATCGTGACTCTTATATCACAACATTGGTAATGCTGTCGTGACTAGGGCGATGCTGACGTCCGCTCCTGTGTTAGGTAAGTCCACTACGGGCTCACCATAGCCCGTGCTACTTGCCCCGCTCCTGTGCCAGGTTAGTCCACTACGGGCTCACCATAGCCCGTGCTACTTGCCCCACTCCTGTGCCAGGTAAGTCCACTACGGGCTCACCATAGCCCGTGCTACTTGCACCGCTCCTGTGCCAGGTAAGTCCACTACGGGCTCACCATAGCCCATGCTACTTGCCCCGCTCCTGTGCCAGGTTAGTCCACTACGGGATCACCATAGCCCGTGCTACTTGCAACTTTATGTTCCCAGTAGCTGAATCTTAAACAAATGTTGGTTTTAGTAATTATATTGTACAGTTAAGTGGTGTTTTATGTATTGGAATTTTGCAGTGTGATGCTGATGTCAGTCTGTTGTCTTCCTTATATTAAAGTGTGTCTATCTCTTCCAGGTAAGGCCGAATGTCGCAGACGATATGAAGTTGTGGTGTCTCTCCTGAGTGAAGCCTCCGCCGGAGTTTAAAACCTGAGTAAAGTATCATAGCTTCAGCTCACCCAACCTTCTCATAACCTCACCTAACCTAACCTAACCTTCTCATAACACCACCTAACCTAACCTAACCTAACCTTCTCATAACACCACCTTACCTAACCTTCTCATAACCTTACCTTACCTAACCTAAAATTACCTTACCTTACCTAACCTAAAATTCTCATAACTTCAACTTACCTTACCTAACCTTCTCATAACCTCACCTTACCTAACCTAACCTTCTCATAACCTCACCTTTCCCAACCTTCTCATAACCTCACCTTACCTAACCTAACCTTCTCATAACACCACCTTACCTAACCTAACCTTCTCATAACACCACCTTACCTAACCTAACCTTCTCATAACACCACCTTACCTAACCTAACCTTCTCATAACACCACCTTACCTAACCTAACCTTCTCATAACACCACCTTACCTAACCTAACCTTCTCATAACACCACCTTACCTAACCTAACCTTCTCATAACCTCACCTTATCTAACCTTCTCATAACCTCACCTTACCTAACCTTCTCATAACCTAACCTAACCTAACCTAACCTTCTCATAACCTCACCTTACCTAACCTAACCTTCTCATAACCTCACCTTACCTAACCTAACCTTCTCATAACCTCACCTTACCTAACCTAACCTTCTCATAACACCACCTTACCTAACCTAACCTTCTCATAACCTCACCTTACCTAACCTAACCTTCTCATAACCTCACCTTACCTAACCTAACCTTCTCATAACACCACCTTACCTAACCTAACCTTCTCATAACACCACCTTACCTAACCTAACCTTCTCATAACACCACCTTACCTAACCTAACCTTCTCATAACCTCACCTTACCTAACCTAACCTTCTCATAACCTCACCTTACCTAACCTAACCTTCTCATAACACCACCTTACCTAACCTAACCTTCTCATAACCTCACCTTACCTAACCTAACCTTCTCATAACCTCACCTTACCTAACCTAACCTTCTCATAACACCACCTTACCTAACCTAACCTTCTCATAACCTCACCTTACCTAACCTAACCTTCTCATAACCTCACCTTACCTAACCTAACCTTCTCATAACCTCACCTTATCTAACCTTCTCATAACCTCACCTTACCTAACCTTCTCATAACCTCACTTTACTTAACCTTCTCATAACCTAACCTAACCTAACCTTCTCATAACCTCACCTTACCTAACCTAACCTTCTCATAACACCACCTTACCTAACCTAACCTTTTCATAACCTCACCTTACCTAACCTAACCTTCTCATAACACCACCTAACCTAACCTAACCTAACCTTCTCATAACACCACCTAACCTAACCTAACCTAACCTAACCTTCTCATAACACCACCTTACCTAACCTTCTCATAACCTAACCTAACCTAACCTAACCTAACCTTCTCATAACCTAACCTTCTCATAACCTCACCTTATCTAACCTAACCTTCTCATAACCTCACCTTATCTAACCTAACCTTCTCATAACCTCACCTTATCTAACCTAACCTTCTCATAACCTCACCTTATCTAACCTAACCTTCTCATAACCTCACCTTATCTAACCTAACCTTCTCATAACACCACCTTACCTAACCTAACCTTCTCATAACACCACCTTACCTAACCTAACCTAACCTTCTCATAACACCACCTTACCTAACCTTCTCATAACCTAACCTAACCTAACCTAACCTAACCTAACCTTCTCATAACACCACCTTACCTAACCTTCTCATAACCTTACCTTACCTAACCTAAAATTACCTTACCTTACCTAACCTAAAATTCTCATAACTTCAACTTACCTTACCTAACCTTCTCATAACCTCACCTTACCTAACCTAACCTTCTCATAACCCCACCTTACCTAACCTAACCTTCTCATAACACCACCTTACCTAACCTAACCTTCTCATAACACCACCTGACCTAACCTAACCTTCTCATAACCTCACCTTACCTAACCTCACCTTACCTAACCTAACCTTCTCATAACCCCACCTTACCTAACCTAACCTTCTCATAACACCACCTGACCTAACCTAACCTTCTCATAACCTCACCTTACCTAACCTAACCTTCTCATAACACCACCTTATCTAACCTAACCTTCTCATAACCTCACCTTATCTAACCTAACCTTCTCATAACCTCACCTTATCTAACCTAACCTTCTCATAACCTCACCTTATCTAACCTAACCTTCTCATAACCTCACCTTATCTAACCT